CTAGGGGGGCAACTGCCCCTGCTGCCCCCTGCTGCGTACGGCCCTGAACGATACAAGCTCGTATGTCGTTTCAGGCCTTCCATAGTTGCAGGACTTCCCTACCATATCACACTACACACGTTCAGCAGAAATATGACGGGCTGTTGTGCCTATGGATGTACCACTACCAACCCATCGGAAACAACGCACTGATCTCTACTATACTAACTAGTATCTGTATCTAGTATCATATAATTTCGTCGTATATATGTACCGGTTTCCCGCAAATGAAGGAAGGAGGAAAGTATGGGGAAGCAAAAGTTAACACGATTATGTTCACGATTATGCACGATTATGTTCACGATAAAAGTTCACGATTATGCAAAGTAAGTAATTTTCCTCCCTACAGTGCACTACCACATGCACTTGGAGCGTCTCAATAAAGAACAGTAATTAATGCTAAATAAACACAACATAAATAAATAATCTATCTATATTATTTCTATGGTGGCGCCACTAGTGTTTTGGTAGTTTTCTTTAGACATCTTGTTTTACTAGCAGACGATGCTGACGATTCCAAAGGAAAGGCTGGTAAATATGCTATTGAATATAATGGCTACTAGAGCTATTAGTATAAGTAATCGCTTTAATCTCGTTACTTATTATGGAGTAATGATTGATCCATCGTCATACCTACTTTGTAAATTTTATCGTTCGCTAGACTGCAATGAGTGACTGCATCTGATCTAAAAAGTTAGGGGCCTACAGCATACACCACTATAACTATATCATAAGGCTGAAGGGGTCGTTGTCGTATCAGCTAGGTAGGCCTACGTACTAGTACTAGTAGTAGTACTACTACATATGATATAATATATGTACCCGAGGTACATATATGTATACACAAAGTGTACCAGACTTGTACTACAGAAGCGTACCCTAACACTAACCCTAAGGCCTAACCCTAAACATATACCTCATGTAAAAATATAAACATAATAGTTTTAATACTAAACAACCTAAAACTATACCTCGGGTACATATATGTAGTACCTACCTGATACGACAACGACCCTTCGTGCATAACTATAAGCATTAGAATAGGCATTGGAAACAGTCCTGCATTGCAATTCCATTTTATTTTCACCACAGTCGCTTAAGCTAGAATTATCGAGAGGTATGCCGGTATTGAACTCATAAGTAACCAAATTTGAACGTATTGTTTTACACTTCACATGAATCTGATAAAGAAAGTTTAGTATGGTAATTGGTTTCTAAATGATCCACTATTAGTATTAGTTAAACTTATAGTATACCTTTCACAGGTCACAAATACGTACTTGTACAACACAAGTCAATTTAAAAGACCATTATAAGTGATATCAAAAGCTAATGGAACCTGTTAGTGAGCAAGAAACTGAACCAGACTGGTGTCACAGAACTAAGCAAAATTTTCACAGTAATGTGTCTGATACTATTGAGGAGGTAAGCTATATATATATATATATCTATTTAAGAATTAAAGTCAACCACATACTGAAAATAGTAAAAGAGTAATCAAATTTGAGTGACATTATATCGTTAATTATTACTATTAGTGAACAACTTCACCACTGTCATAAAGTTTTTCATGTTTGGAATATCATGTTAAGCACTGTGGACACTTATTTGCTATGAAAGATAACATTTAATTGTTTTTTGACTTGTGATCATTTTGTAGGTTGTGTCAAAGTATCCGCTACCTTCCGTTCTTGCTTACAAACGGGAGAGCACTGTACCCACGAGAGACATCCAATTGTTGGAGACCAGACTTGCGAGGTTAAAGCTAAAAAAGGCACTACGTCAGTATATATAAAACTCTGTTAACTGTAGATCTACAAAACATTCTTTATGACTCAAATTAAATAGTAGTGCAGCACACTAATGTTCATATAGGGTCTATGTCCCCCAGGGTACTGCCGGAACGTACCCTGAGTACGGTCCGGTATACCGTAACGTACCCTGGCAACTATTTGATATGGTTAGGGTTAGGTTTAGGGTTAGTGTTAGGTAGTAGGCGTAGGCGACTCCCTAGACTCGTTAGTGGAGTAGGCGAGGTACGGTCCGGCATATTAGATATATCTAATATGCCGGACCGTACCTCGCGTCCGTAATTGTAATGACAATATGTAAATTCAAATATAAAATGGTACAAAATTGGTTATATATTCGTGTAAACTGTCATTCGAATTTTCAATTCCAACAAGATAATTACAGTTGCACCTCTATCGATCATCTGATAACTAAAAAATGGGTTTTTTCATTGTGTATGCATGGTCATTCCTTTCTTTTCCTTACAGATGCACAGAAAGAGACTAGTCAGTCGATGGCACGGATTGTTCCAACCATGTCAGGATATGACATGGCCGTTTACAATGACTTGTTCCAGTGTGAGTTATATAACTATAGTACACTTGGATAGGTTTCTATTTGCAGGATATAGTTAGTTTGTTATTTAACACTATACATGGATGAATTGACACTGGGCTCAAAAATATTAAAATTATAATCAGAAAGTGTCATGATAGGTAGGGCTATGATTAAATAAATAAATATGTACAAATTGGTTGATAGTGAGACCATAGATTCATTATTTGCCATTAAAAATAAAATATAATATAATGTGTACACTTAATTTGTCAATTTTTGAAAAAATCTTCCATTATTTCCTGTCTAAGACCACACGATATTTCTTTTTTGTATTTCCATATTTGTTTCCATAACTCAACCAATGCGACAACTTTCCAGCAACCGTCAGTAGCGGGGGAACAACAGTGATGCAGTTTATGCTCTCAAACATGTTGACTAAGGAAGGCAAGTAAATTGCAAGTCATAAGAGTAAGAGATTACAACTGTCATTTTGTCACTAATGGAATTGTTATAGCAATACTTATTGAACATCAACAAAAGCAGGGAAATTTTTTGTAGGGCACACAGTCGTGATAACGATACTTGGAACTGCGAGTTACTGAACAGAAAGACTGTGTAATAGCAGAGAAACCATTCATTTGAGAGTTGAGAGTTTCATTGAGCTCATATATATATATATATATATATATATATATATATATATATATATATATTCTCTTGGCAGGGCTACGTGAGAAAACACCTGATGAAGAGGTAGAAAAACCAAAGATTTTGACATGGACCATGCAAGACAGTGGCACAGCTTTTCCGTAAGTATGTGCATTGACACTGGCAAGTGCCATAATTGTCGAGAGGGATCGATCTTTCCACTTTCATGTTGGGAGATTATGATTGTTATAGATTATGCTTTATGCATGTGTGCAATAATGTATGTATTTATGGTTCAGAAATATGTGAAAAAAACATGGAAATGAGCAGCAGTAAAGGAAAGTGCTTTCTTATCTCTTTCTATAATGCATTTATTAGTGAAGGATTATGCCTGTAGTTTCCCTGTATTTGGCTATGGTTAAGTGAGCGTCATTGACATTGAGGAAATGAATCTATTATTAATGCGGTTCATATGTGTGCTATTTACGGGAGAGGACGGTAGGGTAGGGGAGGGGATTAGTGGTGTAGGATTGAAGGATAGAGAGGGGGTGTAAGCCGGGAGGGCGGAGGGAATAGGGCGTGAGAAAAAGGAGGAGCAATTGTTTCAGATACGTAGATAATAATATTATATTTTTCTTCTTCTTTCTTTTCCTCGTCTTTTCTTCTTTTCTTCTTCCTCTCCTCGCCCTATCTTCTGCCTATGTTGGAATTGGCTAGCTTCAGAGCTCCTTTATTTAAAAAGGAGGCAGTTTTTCCTGTATACTTTATTGTGTTTGCAATTGTGTTTTATTAATTATGTTTATACTTAACCCTAACGTGTGTTAAATAAACGTGTAAGCTATACATTCGTTGTTTTACCTGCCTAGCTCGCTGCTCTCTAAAGCACTCGTCCGCACATCAGACAGAGAGTCTTACAGACAGACAGTCTTAGACACAACTTGGACAAGAACTGACACTCATATCTCACGCCAGAGAGAGTGAGAGGGAAGGGAGACGGTGAAGGGGAGAGAGAGAGAGAGACAGACAGACAGACAGCGCACAAAAGAGAGTCGATGAGAATAATTCACCATCATTACACTACTCATATAGATGCTCCAATCCGGCGATCGCAGTTGATTACAATGGGAAATCATTTTCCCTAGATGACTATACTAAGGTAGAGATTCACATAAATCAGCAGAGGTAATTTGGGGAGAAATACAGTGCCACCCGCCCAATTCACGCTGCAAGATACAACATTCATGTTATTAACTCAAATATTCTTCCATAATTTTGTGTGTGGTAAGATTTGTGAAAACACGAAAAACGGGGAAATTGTGTGTTTTTATGCTGAAAAGTGGAGATTTCGCATATTTATTTTAAGGCAGCCAAACGAATGTACACGAAAATAACCGTGTACACGTACACAGAATACATGTACATATACGTACTGAACCGAGAGCGCACGCCACACTCGAGGCGATGCGAGTTCGATTTTTGTCACACACAAAAATCAAAATCAACCAACCACTCTGCCGAATAGAGCAAGAATTCGAGTCTTCGGTATTAACTTGAAAACACGTAGCTGTTTCGTTTGAGAGATAAAAACGTTCGTGCAAGGCACGCAGTGTATCTAAGTGTTTCACCGCATCTTACACTGATTTCCTGATTTCGAAGTGTAGCGCCACATGTACTTGGAACGCTTTAATAATAAAATGATGGTAAACACGAAACGTATTTACTTCCAAAGTCTCTACTCTCTTTCGCCTATCATTAGTAATAACTTTCTGTAAATGCCGTTTAAATGCTCCACTGCAACACAAAAGTACACCGTACGAACGCCGCCGTGCACAAACAACAAATTAATATTATAGATACTATCAAGAGCAGTATTTATATTACTAATAATATGCGAAGAAGAGTAGAGAAACAGACCAATTTCGCAATTCGCAACTCCGAGTTGGCGAAAATAGAACATGTTCTAATCTCCCAACTAGTTGCTGTCGATCGGGTTGTTGGTCGTGCAACTTTTGCGTTTACACTGCCGATTGTCGGTTGTATATAGTTGGTCGAATACTCGTCATTTCGCCAACACAAAGTCGGTAGTGTAAACCCAGCTTACGTCGCCCATGCACTGCATAGTGCGTGCGTGCGTGCGCAGATTTTCAGTTACCGTTCAGTCGAGCAAGGAAGCTTCGTAGGCTGTCTCTGTGCCAAATCGTCCGTGCACCTTGTCTCCATAACAGAATATGCACAGCTGGGCTGATCCTTGACAGATCGAGTCCTGCGCCCACGTACTTTTAACCCCTACTAGCAGTACAGATGCCCAGACATGAGTGAATGCTCTAGACTGGGATATTTACCCTGACCTTTGGGTTTATGGAACTATCTAGGAATGATCCAAAATTTTTCAGGAGTTACTGTATGCATGGGTACGTGTACTGGGCACTGCGTGGTGTAACGTGCAATAATGTTGTTACGTAGTTACGCCCTATGTTTTGTGTCCAGATATTTTTCGCCGAATTCAAGACTTGATGGAAAATTTCGCGAGTGGTAAATTGCGGGTCGTGAATTATAAATTATTCGGTATGAATTATTCGTCAGTGTTGTTATTTTCCCGTCGGGGACGCGTTCGCGACATTCGCAAAGATTAACCACACCGCGGGGGACAACTACGTTCAGTGTATACAGTATTACTGTTTATGCTATATATATATACATATATAGGTAAACTTCTTTTGCCCAGTTCATTCATGTTTTTTTACTAGTTATTCTGCAACCAAATACATAATCATATTGCACACATGGCATGAAGCATAATCCATACAATATCATCTCCCAACATGAAAGTGGAAAAGATCCGATTCCTCTCGGACATTATGGCACTTGCCAGTGTCATGCACATACTTACGGAAACCGCTGCGCCTGTCTTGCATTGTCCATGTCAAAATCTTTGGATTTTCATCTCTATGCATCAGAGTGTTTTCTCACGTAGCCCCTGCCAAGAGAATATAGTATATATAATATATCATATATATGAGCTACATTGAACTCTCAACTCTCAAATGAATGGTTTCTTCTGCTATTAACACAGTCTTTCTGTTCAGTCCCTCGGCAGTTCAAGTATCGTTATCACGACTGTGGGCCCTACAATAAAATTTCCCTGCGTTTTGGTGTGATGTCAATAAGTATGTATCAACACTTCCATTGTAGACCACATGAACAGTTGTAATCTCTTTGACTCTTATGACTTGCAACTTACTTGCCTTCCTTAGTCACATGTTGAGAGCATAAACTGCAGTCATGTTGTCCCCCGTCTACTGGACGGTTGCCTGGTTTAAAGTTGTCCGCATTGGTTTGAGGTTATGGAACAAAATATGGAATACACAAAAAGAAATATCGCTGTGGTCTTAAGACAGAATAATGGAGCATTTTTTCCAAACTTGACAAATTAGTGGTACACATTAATTATTATTTTATTTTTAATGGCAAAATCCGAACTATGGTCTCACTATCACACATTTTGTACATATTTATTTATTTAATCAAGCCCTACCTATCATGACACTTTCTGATTAATAATTTTAATATTGTTTGAGCCACGTGTCAATTCATCATGTATAGTGTAAATAACAAACTAACTTATCCTGCAATAGAATACCTATCCAAGTGTACTATAGTTATATACTCACACTGGCACAAGTCATTGTAACGGCCATGTCATATCCTGAC